GTGAATGAAGCTTCTGGAGGTGTACAGAGTGGTGACTTTGGTAGGGAATGTGTATCTTCAACTTTAGGAGAAAATGCAAAACTATTTTCCAAAGTGGTTGTACCCATTTATACTCCTCCCACAGCAATGTATGAAATCTCCCACTTTTCCACATCCTTTTGCCAATGTATAGAGCTACTATTGTAGTTTTAATATTTATTTCCCTGATCACTAATGAAGTTAAGCAACTTTTCCATTGTTTATTGGACTTTTGTATGTCATTTTTGAAGTGCTTCTGTGGCTTTTGCCCATTTTTCTATTGGATTGACTTAGTAATTTGTAAAAGTTATATATTCTGGACATGAACCCTTTGACAGTTATATGTGTTACAAATGTCTTCTTCCATTCTGTGACCTATCTTTCCATTTTCCCATAGTGTTTTTGTTTTTTTGTTTTGTTTTGTTTTGAGACGTGCAGTGGCGGGATCTCGGCTCACTGCAGCCTCCACCTCCCAGGTCCAAGCAGTTCTCCTGCCTCAGCCTCCTGAGTAGCTGGGACTGCAGGCGTGTGCCACGATGCCTGGCTAATTTTTTATATTTTTGGCAGAGGCGGGGTTTCACTGTGTTAGCCAGGATGGTCTCGATCTCCTGACCTCGTGATCCACCTGCCTCAGTCTCCCAAAGTGCTGGGATTGTAGGTGTCAGCCACTGCGCCTGGCCATCCCATAGTGTTTTGTTTTGTTTTGTTTTGTTTAAAAGACGGGATCTCGGTCGGGCATGGTGGCTCATGCCTGTAATCCCAGCACTTTGGGAGGCCGAGGTGGGCAGATCACGAGGTCAGGAGATCGAGACCATCTTGGCTAACACGGTGAAACCCCATCTCTGCTAAAAATACAAAAAATTAGACTGGCATGGTGGCACGCACCTGTAGTCCCAGCTACTCAGGAGGCTCAGACAGGAGACTCGCTTGAACCTGGGAAGCAGAGGTTGCAGTGAGCCAAGATCATGGCACTGCACTCCAGCCTCGGTGACAGAGCGAGACTCCATCTCAAAAAAAAAAAAAAAAAAAAAAAAAAAGAGATGGGATCTCACTGTGTTAACCAGGCTGGCCTTGAACACCTGGGCTCAAGTGATCCCTCCCACCTCAGCCTTCCAAGTAGTTGGGACTACAAGTGTGTGCCACCACACCAGCCTACAGTTTATTTTTATGAACAGAAGTACCTAATTTTCATGGAGAGATGTGTGGTCTTTTAGTTGGTGCTCTTTGCATATTACGAAATCTTGCCTTGGTCACAAGTTGTAAAATTATTCTCCTATATTATCTTACAGCTGTATAGTTTTTGCTTTACACACTTAGTCTAATACACCTGGAGTTGATTGATTTTTGAATGTGATATGAGTAAAGGACCATTTCATATTTTCTCACATGAATATCCAGTTGTCCCAGCACCTTTTATTGCGAAGTCTGTCTTTTCCCTTTGTTCACAGTGCTTCCTCTGTCATAAATTGAGTATCTATATGTGAATGGGTTTGTTTCTGGGCTCTTTTCTGTTCTTTTGGCCCAGTTGTCTCCCTGCACTAGTAACCTTCTGTCATAGTTATTACACCTTGAAAATGAACCTTGGTGTTGAGTAGGCGGCTTTCTACCCTTTGTAGTTCCATGTACATTGAATCTGCTTATCAAGTTACACACACATACAACCTGTTGACTTATTGGGCTTTCATTAAACATATAGATTAGTTTGGAGAGAAGAGGCATTTGTTGGGTTTCCCAACATCAAACGTGGCATAGCTCTCCATTTTAGGTTTACTTTAACATTTCTTTAAAAAGTTTTAGTTTTCTTATAGGGGTTGTTGAATGTATTCATATAGTTTGATATTTTTATGCACTTATTTTATTTTCTCTTAGGGAACAGAATTACCTGAAGACTTTTTGGTTAATTGTAGCAATTTAGATTATCTTGGATTTCATGCTTATGATATCATATGCACATAGAAGTTTTGGTTAGATATACCTATTTTTGCCCTGTTACTCAGGCTGCAATACATTGTTGAATAGAAGTGGCAATAGGAAGCGTCTGTTTCTTAATATGTTTGCTGCCATTAATATAAACAGAAATCTAAATGATTCTTCGATGGATCTTTTAATCTTTTTACTTTCAATATTTCTGTGTTTGATGTGAACCTCTTATAAACAGCACGTAACTGCTTTTTTATTCCATTTGACATTCTAGATTTTAATAGTGTTTATTGTAATTACAAATACATTTATAAGTCTTTTGACCATCTTTTGTATTGTCTAATTATTTCTTTGCTTTCCCCTCCTACTTTCTGCAGGGTTGATTTTTCCTAATAACCTTTTCTCCTTCACTGCTAATTTGGAAGTTTTATATATCAACTTTATTGGCTTTCTGCTATTACTGTATTTTCATAGTCATCTTGCAATTTTGAATACATACTTAGGAGACAGAAGCCACATTTGCACAGGTAACCAAACATGAAAATCTTAACCACCTTCTACTAGTTAGCAATTCTTGTGGTGTTTACTACTAAACGGGGTAGAAGTGGGACTCTAGGGGATACAGAATATCAACTTCGGGATGCAGATCCTTCCCCCCAGGGGTAAGGGAGAGTGAACAAGAAAGGAGGTTAGAAACTAAGTGCCTCCCTACCAGGCTGAGATTTAGATTTCCCCTGGCAGCCATAGGACCATGCAACCCACTCGTGGCTAAGAAACTTGCCAAAAGGTGTTGCCTGCTGATAAAGCATGAAGGCCATGGTTCTTAGGGCATTAGCCAAGGGTTAACTGGGGGGTACGTAGGTGATTGAGAACAGCTCTCTACACCAATTAGCTAGCAGCCACGGAAAACATCAGAAGAAAAGCCCCTTCTTCCTGCTGTAGCCCTGCAGTGCCCTTCCGTCACCCCGTATTGGCAAAGCCAAATATCAAGCCCGCCGGGAAAGAGGCAAAGGAGACAGACGTCAATTTGAAGCTGAGGGGTAATGAATTCGTTACTGACTCACTCACAGTTATATTTTTAAGATAAGTATCTTTAGCTTCCTAAATAAGGTATGGTCTTGAATACTTTCTTCTGAATCAGCCTAGCTGCCCCTTCCTAGTTGTTAGTACTAGCATTTTAGTTCTACTGTTTCTGAACCCTTGCAAAAATCTTTGGTTATTTGTTTATATCTTGTGAACAATCAAAACTTGCTTAGGTTTGCCAACGTATTTTACAGGTTTCTTTGCTCTCCACTGCTTTTCACGTGCTATTTCTGCCTTACTGGTACATTTTCCTTCTTGCTGAAATATTATCTATGGCTATTTTTCAGTTTGATATTCCTGTGCACTTTATATTTTTTTTAAAGTCTGTTTTTGTTTTGTTTCATAAGTTTTGCCCGTGAGTTTCCCTTTAGTGACAGTTATCTGCTGCAGTTGTCACACATGTACCCTGGATATGTGTGACATATCCTGTGGGGCCAATTTTATGGTTGCCTCCATCAAGGTTTCACAGGATTCCAGTTCGAAACCAATATTCACATTCCTTCCTAGATTTGGGGGTTTTTGCACCAAGTTGATGTTAACTTCAGACCCTATGCTCCTCCATATTAGCTGACTGTTTCCACCCACTGCTGAAAACCAATTCTTGTCCTCAGTGGCAGCCAAGGTATTAACAACTTTTCAGGCTCCCTGCCCCTTACACAGTGCCTATATAATCTTGCCTTCTGTCTGGTGTGTACTAAAATTCTGGTTCCCTTCAACATTTTAATTCCTCTTCAGACCATCACCAGGAATTTACCTGTGTTGCCTGATACAGGTAAAAATGGTTCAATTGGCCGGGCACGGTGGCTCAGGCCTGTAATCCCAGCACTTTGGGAGGCTGAGGTGGGTGGATCATGAGGTCAGGAGATCAAGACCATCCTGGCTAACACAGTGAAACCCCGTCTCTACTAAAAATACAAAAAATTAGCCAGGCGTGGTGGCGGGCGCCTGCAGTCCCAGCTGCTCGGAAGGCTGAGGCAGGAGTATGGCGTGAACCCGGGAGGCCGAGCTTGCAGTGAGCCGAGATCGCGCCACTGCACTCCAGCTTGGGAGACAGAGTGAGACTCTATCTCAAATTTAAAAAAAAAAAAAAAATCAAAATGGTTCAATTGACCATGTTTAAAATAAATGTTTGTGGTTTAAGTTTGGAAGAAGAGGGGTAGGTTTTCACTTATCTGCCATTTTGATTAGCTGTTTTAGGGTGGCTAATGTTTCAGATGTACATATGATACATTCCCTTATTTCTCTGGTGCTTCTCCATTTTCAAGGCACTTGTCTATTTAGGGAGCAATTAGAATGCCATCATGAGGTAGACGGGATAGGCATCAATGCTCCATTTTATAATGAGAATTTGCCATTTAAAATAGAAACCTCAGCAGAAACAGATTTCACCATGCATCTTCTATGTACTTAACACGGTCTAGGGTGGTGAGGGTGAAAAACAATTCAGGTAGCTTGAATTTTATTCCCTACTGTTCAGTTGGAGAGTAAACAAATATTAAATACCAAATACAATATAAGTAGCTGCTTAGCATGTAACCTTAGCAGGTGCCTAACCAACATTTCTTAAAACTTAGTGTTATAAAGGCTGGGAACTATTAAAATGGAAAATACTCAGTATCAACAGTAAATGCTACAGGCGGTGGGAAAAGGCCATTTCACTATTGATTGACTTAATAGAGGAAATAGGTTTGAGACAGGACTTGAGTTGGCAGAGCATAGTATTTGGACTATTCTGGAATAGAACATCTGCATGTGAATAAGGTGGCAGAAAATTGGAATAAGAGTAACATGACAAAAGCTTTGTTTTTGAATGTTGCCCTGCTTCAGAAAAGTGGCAGTGAAGGCAGTGGCAGAGACAGAAAACTGATGGCAGGTAGTGTTGTCTGAGTCGGTAAGAGAGAAGAGGAGGTCCAGGAATGTTAGAGGGAATGAGAAGTATATTTGGTCTTGTAAAGTCTGAAATGTAAAAGAGGCACTTGTTTAAGTATATAATTTATATATTTTGCTTTTAACATGCCATTTAGGTGAACTAACCATCTCTTTAGAAAAGTTGAATAGCCTAAACTTATCTGAAAGCTTCCTTTTCTCTGATGGTGAAACTCTTCAGCAGTCTCCAGTGCTTTGCTATGAGAGTCAGACATAGACCTGGGTTTGGAAGTTGGTTTGCATTTTCCTAGGGAAATAATGCTACATGCTGGAATTTGGCCCTTACACTACACAAGAGTATTTAACTCAAGGTATTTAAGTATATCAGTATAACATTTTTGCCAGTAGGGAAATAACATTTTTAGCTCCAGGTCAAATTAAAGAACAAATCTCCAGGCATACAAGTACCACAGGTGGCAGCCAGAAGAGCTTTGGCAGTGTTAGCTCTTGGCAGTTTTGAGTTGGGTCACTTTCTGTTTCCATAAAAAAGCAACTTCCCTTTGGCCAGTCACTGCCCAGGAATGCTGGTAGTGGCTCCAGAAACAGATCTCCCCCAGCCCCTATGCCAGGGGCAGGACACTTTCTGGTACATACATTCAGGTAAGTCCTAAATCAGATGGTATACAATTACCTACTAAAAGTGAAAAATAATCACTGAGGTTTGGATAATTTAGTAGGCACAAATGTCATTTCTTGCTGGACTTGAACAAAAAAATCCAACTAAAAAAAGTAGTTCTTGCTTTTAAATAACCTCTTCCTTATGCTATTCAGTCATGCAGTTAAATTCCACACAAGAATGTATAATTTCAAGTGGTTCTGATTTAAATGAAAAACTATACATATATTTGATGTAAGTGATCCAAAGGAAAAATATATATACATATATACACATTTTAATATAAAGGTGAGTGATAAGGATTCTCATCATCAGCTTCTGGGCTGTCCATTTGGAGTCAGCTCATACCTGTAAGACAGTTAGGTTTGGACTTAACGTTAGTAATGACAGTGTGTTGTGGTAACAGGACAAACTGCCTAGTCCTGCCTGCCTGGGCCTCTGTAAGACCAACAGAACCTGTCTCTGTAAGTTGGCCAGCCAGGGTTCAGGGTTAAGGCTAGAGTTTACAGGTGTCTTTTAGGGTATCAGTGAGATCTGCAGGCAGTAAAGCCTTAAATAAAGGTATTCATCTCTCTCCCTTCTTGATAACCAAAGTAGCTGAAATAGTACTGAAAAGGGAAAACTGTCTTGAATAGCAGGATAACAGTAATAAAATGAAAGGGCACACTTACCATTGTGAAAAGCCCTTAATCAGATCTTCTTTTGATAAGTCAATCAGTACCTAAATAATCACAAATAATTAGTTTCCCTCCAAAACACTGCATTAAGGAAAGAAACTGGGATAAAGCAAATTGATCATAACCTCCTTGGTATATCAAATCTCTCTTGTACTTACTTTTCCTAACTCCTTTCTTCTGTGTGAGCCAAGTGGCCTACTATTTTTCACTGCAACATCTAGTGACCTCTTCTTTACTTCTTCCATGGGAACAAAAAATTCAAATCTTTAGGAAGCAAAAAGTCAGGAATTGAGAATTACGCATTTCATTCAGTTTTCTTGAAAATCTAAAGTGCTTCATCTATTTCCCTACTAAAACACAAGATACAGACTATTAGGAGCACCTAGAGCAGGACTGGCTCGTAAACTACTCACAATGTTTCATTATTACAGATAATCACTGTCCAGTGTTGTTCACAAAACCCAGAAGTATTAAGAGGCTGTTTGCCTAGAAGTGCCTCAGACTGCTGTGGCTTAGTTTGCATCTATCTATCTCCAATTCTACCCTTGCTACCCCTCTTTTTTTTGAGATGGAGTTTCACTCTGTCGCCCAGGCTGGAGTGCAGTGGCATGATCTTGGCTCACCACAACCTCCACCTCCTGGGTTCAATCAATTCTTCTGCCTCAGCCTCCTGAGTAGCTGGGATTACAGGCATGCGCCACCATATCTGGCTAATTTTTTGTGTTTTTAGTAGAGACAGGGTTTCACCATGTTGGTCAGGCAGGTCTCGAACTCCCAACCTCAGATAATCCACCTGCCGTGGCCTCCCAAAGTGCTGTGATTACAGACGTGAGCCACCATGCCCGGCCCTGGCTACCACTCTTTTAGCTGGCCCTCCTCACCCTGAACAGTACTTATTCATAGGACCACCTCAACCCCCTTCTCAGTTTTTTCTCACCAGCTAAGGGCTAGAACACTGAACAGTTAGGTTTGCTGCAGTTACGTGGAAAATAGTGGCCACCTCCTGTACAGTAAGGCAGAGGAAACCTCTTACTTTTAGGTTTTAGGGTGGAGGTTGCTAGCTCTGCCTTCCGGATAGTCCAGCCTTATCTTGCTGTCATACTTTTGAGAATTATTAACAGGTTTAGGTTTGTCAGAAAAGTCAAATGTTAAACCTCTCCTATATTCCCACATAATTTTTTTTAATCCCTTAGCCATGTAGTAGCCACCACACCACAATTTTGGCATCTTTTGATAATTATGTCAGAGCTTCCTTTGAGGGCAAAGTATCTTACTTGTGTGGCTCTAGAGTATAGGATGGTGCCTGGCATAAAGCATTCAGTAAATGTTGAATGAATAGTCTCTCTCTTCCTCATACCCTTTTCTTGATACTGATGAACTCAAAGTGTAGCTGTTAAAGGAACATAATAGTTCTTAGACATGGCCCAAAGAGGACTCAGTGTAACCGTTTTTGAAAAAGTTATTGGCCAGGAAAATTATGAGATGTAATATTTTCCTAAGCTGGCTAGAAATGTCTTTTTAGAACCTGAAGCAGAAGGTACACGCTGGTAAGATGCAGACTTCTAAGAATAAAAATATTTGGGATAAGATTTGCCACCACTGGCCCATCAAAAGCAATTAATATGATCAGAGTCACCTCTGTCCCCAAGGACACAGGTGGACAAGCCTTTGTGGAGAAGGGGAGGGTGTCTTCTCCACCTGTCACCTATGTTTTGTTGCAGGAGGGAAGACAGGCCAAAGAGCTTCAAGCTTTAAAGGAAATTTTAGGTCCTTAGGCTCAAGGAATGTTTAACTGCTGGAATTAAAACAGATCAAAAAAATATTTGAATAGATTCAAATCTTTTTACTACCAGAGAGACCTCATTTAAACAGAAAGAACAGGGGACATTCCATATTCAGGAACACTTTAGCCTCTATGAGCAGTAAATGTAGGTAGCCATTTTGATAAACTTCTCTGGCACTCCATTTTTCCCACTAAAGTACAGAAGCTTCATGAAGTCATAGACTATGTTGTCTTGTTCAGCCATAGGCTGCCAGGCAACGTAACAGGTACTTGGCAAATACTTGAATGGATGAGGCACTCTAGGCAGGCTAGCAGCCCACTTACGTCTCATCAAACAGAGGTTCCAAGGTCTTCCGCTTCACTGAAGTCTTCTTACGACATGCCCACTTCCTTTCTGGCAACAAGTAGACACGGACGTAGGGATCAGCTCCACTGCTGGTACATGGTGTCAGGTTTCTGATTTGGTGTCAAAGACATTAGGAAAAAAAAAGGCCCCTGGTTTTCAAACACTGAAAATACTCATTTGAGAGAAGGCTGTATTAGCCATTCAGCATTAGATACGCTTGAGGATAAAAATGCTCAGTGGTCCTGATGATCAAAAGTAATAGTCTGTAGAATTTAGAGGACAAAATATCAGACGCATGATTTTGAAAACATGCATCTTTATAAAGCTTGGAGTAGAGCAAGTACTTTCCTTCTAAGGGAAGTTGGAGAATTTCACTTGGAAAATATACTGGCTACCAGCCACTCCAGACAGTCTTGCAGTGGTTGCATCTGAGCAAAGCCCTTGGCTCTTGAGTCCATCAGCACCACTGAAGAATGATGGCCAGAGTGCCTCTTTGAGACTTGATTAGTGTTCAGGCCTTCAAATCTCATTTTTTCCCCAAAGTGTTATCTTGGGACTATGTGCCCTGTTCATTGCTCTGAGTGTCCCTACTCTGATTTATAGTCACCTGATGCTCCCAAAGGACCTCCCTGGCCCTAGAATCCCTTTACCTGCAGCCATTGATTAGCACGCTGAGGCAGCGCCGCAGACACACATAGCGCACTGTGAGTTGAATCTCGCCCAGCTGCCGTCGCCTGAGGTCTCCGCCTCTGTAAAGAAAGAGCCCGTCACTTCTCTTGCTGTAACAGGCATTGGCCCTCTTCCCCCACCCCGAAAGACAAAGCATTCCTGCTTGAGGAGCATAGAGCCATGTGGGATAATAATTTGCAGTGAGTTTACTTTCAGTTGGAATTCAGTTCCATCCAGCATTCATGTATAATTATCCTACTTCACAGCAGGAAGAACGGGAACCCTGAAGTGGGATCTGCCTTTGTATCATGATTCCTTTTGGGGCCTTGAATGAATTTATTAAACTTTTATGATAGTTCCATCTTGTAGGGTTATTGTGAAGGTTGAATTAAATCAGATAACATGCTAAGCCCATAGTAAACCCTTCATAAATGACAGCCATTTATTATGTAATTCTACATATTAAGCTTTCCATGTCATCCCAGTATAACTCTTTAGAATTCAGGAAATGGTTCTGCTGGAAGGGACCTTACCAACCGAGTCCAGCATCTATTTTATAGTCAGTATACAGCTAGAGCCATAACCAGCCTGTGTGGCTGTCTCCCTCGTCCTGTGTTCTTTCTACCACACCATGCTGCCTCTTAGGAAGATATTTTGTGAAAAAACAACTTGCAGAAATGTAAGTTCATATCTACTTTTCCATCCAGTGAGGTATTTTTCATACAGACCATTTTAGAAAAGATTAAGCAGAGAGGTGCATACTCAATGTTGAGGCTGCTATCTGCCAGGTCAAAGCAAGAAGAGGCCAAGGAGTTGAGCGAGGACATGCTGGGAGGCAGCCTCTTGGGTGGCCATGCGAATGGGGAGGCAGGGCATTTCATGGGTCTGGGTGACTTGATGGGCCCTGGAGAGTGGGGACCCGGGACAGTCAGGAAGATGGTGGCTGAACTCTTCTTCTCCCCCATGGGCTCACAGAACCTTTTGGCACTGTCCTTGCCTTTAGGCTCTGGGCCTGTCTCTTGGGGTGTGGGCTCAGTGGCAACGGTGGTAGCACTGGTGGTGGTTGTGGTACTCTTGGATGTGTCCTTAGTATCAGACGCAGGGTCTGGGGGACAAGGCAAATCTGTAGGGCCTTCTTCCTGAGGTGGGGCTTTGGGATCCTGGTTGGTAGCCACCTTCTTGATGAGCAGAGGGCCTTTCTTTAGGGCTTCAGGTCCTGTGTATGGGCTCCCCAGCTCTCGTTCCTCCACTCGCAGGAACTGCAAGCAGATAAGATAGATAACAGGGTGGCTTACGAGCTGGGTCACCACTTCCACAACCTCAGCCATTGTTTCTCATTCCCCCTTTCCCCTCAGTTGTGAATTATAAAGACCCTTCCTAGGGAACTTCCATTTCCAGTAACATATGGTGTTCCAAACATTCTGAAAAACTTGTTAGAAATGCCAAATAAAATGAAGCAAACATCCTTTGAAATGCATAGCCAAATTCACAAGAAAATAAGGATAATTCCGTTTAAAAAAGAAAAAAAAAATCTAAAAAATAAAAGTTAAGCTTTGCTAGGGTTGTATATCAACCTTGGAATTCAGGGAGTTAGGAGAAGAGAGGCTGTGAGGCTAGGAGCTGAAGGGAAGATCCATGAAGGTGGGATCTCTTTAGTTAAAAAAGTAGTTTAGGATAAAAATTATTCTGCCTACTGGCAAAGACTGATGACAAGAACATGTGTTTGTCACAGCCTGTACTCTGGTTGAGGGGACAAAGTCTTCCCTAATAACATGACACCTCATAGGCCTGTCCCCATATGAATTTTGAGTATAAATATGAGCTACCTATGGGATCTTGAAATCCAAAGTTAAGAAATGTACATAAAAATGGACTCAGGTTTGTAATGCACCTGAGGTACTGCGCTGCAGCAAAAGCAGAAGCTCCTTGGAAGAGAACAACCTTAATCCAGGTCATAAAGGAACACTGAACATATGTTTGCAATCCAAGTTATGAAACAGAAATGAGTCACCATCAAAAAGCATCAACAGACAAAACAAACATCAAAATTCCCAAGATCTTCAAATAATAGAACATACATATTAATACATTGTAACATATTTTCAAATGACCAAAGATGGAATATAAACATGAGAAGATAATAAAATGCTATAAGAAAATACCAAATAGATTTGGAAAAGATAAAAATAGAAATGAAAAATCACCATTGAAAAAACCATGAACAGGTTAAACAGCAAATGAGGCATAGCCAAAGAAAGAATTAGTGGCCTGGAAGATAGCTCTGAGGGAATTAGAATGTACCACCATGAATACAGAGATGGGAAATATTTAGGTGAGGTCAAGAGACATGAAGAATAGATGAGAGGGTATATTATAGAAAATTCTAGAAAGAGGAATTTGAAAAGAATGGAAGAGAGGCAATATTTGAAGAGCCACTATCTCTTCAAATACTGACTTGCTCCCATTCAGTATTTCAAAATTGATGAAAACATGAATCTGAAAACATGAATCCATCTCCTGGTTTCTTGCAGGCATAGAGCAGGTGCTTAGTGCTGGGGCAGTTCACCCTGCTCCACTGCCAGAGCTCTATTCCTTCCCTCCCCCAGGGGACAGGAGAGATTTACCCGAAGCACCAGCCTCATGGAGATGAGGCTGTCCAGGCCTGAGTGGTCCAGCTGAAAGCGCTGCTCAAGAGTGAGGTCAGCATAGGGGAGGATCTGGCACAGGGGGACGTCCAGCGTTCCCAGAGCACACTCCTGGTCATCATCAAGCACCTAGGCAGTGGGCCAGTCACAAAACAAAAGGATAACCAAGCCCCAACCACACCACTACTAGTATCTGGGCCCCAGCCAAGTTTGGGTTTACTTCAGTCTGTACTGTGCTTCTATGGGCATCTGGTCCTATTCTGAAAACTAGAATGGGATCAGGCCAGACCTGATCCTTGTCTTCTGTCAGGGAAGATACTGACTCAGAGTAAGAGGCAATTATGATCTGTATGAGCTAGTCTGTTAAATGCCCAGAGCCAGGGGGCTTTGGGGACTGATGAGTTGTGCTGCTCTCCAGGCAGGGCTCAGGACCCCAAAAGATCCCAGCTCCACCACTTGTTGGTCATGAGATCTTGGACAAGATATTGTTTTTGCCTCTCTCTGCTCGCTCTACAGATCTTTTGTGAAGATTAAGTGAAATATATGTTTTTTAAAGTGTACCATTATTAATGTCCTGTGTAGATTCCAGCACAGGCTTCTCTGGATGCTGTGTAGCAAATATAAAGACCCTTTTGCAGGGAAAGTCGAGGGACTTGAGGATTTATCCTCCCACATCCCCCTATACAATGACCTCAGGCACTAGCCTCAAGGAGATGAGGCCTTATGGGGCCTCAGTGTCCTCTCTCACATAAAAGGGCCTGAGTTTAAACACTGCCAGGAGAACCTGCTCAAGGTACACTTCAAGCTTCCCACCCCGCCTGGCTTAGAAACCTCTTAATTCTGTTTCAAGAGCCCATCGTCCAGCAAACCTTCAGATGGAGCTGCTCAGTGGCCACACTGTGCACAAAGAAGGAGAAAACCTGGCTCCAGACAGGGTCCTTGTTGTGGGGACAAGTCTGGGAACAGAAGAGGGAGAGTTCATTGAAGGGTTAGGTTGGGCAGAGCTGGACACCGGCACCCTCTGCTACCACTCTGGCCACCATTGGGAACCTTACCTATTTGCCCTGAGATCAGACCCAAACACACTACAGCTAGTGGGAGGCACTAGGACAGGACAACCACACTCAAAGGCAGGGAGTGGTCTGCCAGGAAGTTTTACAGGGGAGCTGAAAATCATATTGGCCTTAGAGCTCACTTCAGGAGAGGAGAGGCCAACAGGATTTCGGCTGCTGGACTGGGAAAATTCATGATTGGTGGAAAGGACACAGGCTTCAGAACCATGCCCACACTTGAACCCTAGTTCCATGTCCTTGGTCAAGCAATTTATCTCTGATCCTCAGATTCTTGAATTATTAAACTATTCTGTGAGGTTATTCTGAAGACTAAATAACATCAAGTGCCACCTAGGCATTCACCATAAGTTAATTCCCGTCCCTTTTGCCTCTCTCCCTGAGAAGGGCTGGGTCCTTGTTTCCTCACCCCAGGGCTACCACCAAGCTGTCTTACCTTACTTGTATGTGTCTTCTTGCCTACAGATAGTTTGACATAGGAAGAAGGGTCTTTGCTGACCTTGTTCTGTGAGGAATCAAATCCATAACAGTGAAGGTGGCATAGTCAGAATCAGATTGAGACAGTCCTACCCCCAACCCCCAGGAGCATTTGGGGGAACTGGGACCACCCAATTACTTCTCTTTGAGAGAAAGCTACTCTAATGCCCCAGTCCCCTGGGCTGTCATTACTGTGTAAGCCCCAGGACAGGACCAACCCCAGAAAGCAGTTCCAAGTTAAAAGACCAGAAGCCAGAGCTGGGCCTGGCCAGGCACAGCCTCTTGTTCCCTGGGGCTATGAAAACAGAGTAGAATCAAGTTTTGGCTCCTCCTCTTAGCTGTGCGACTCAAAAAATGGTAATAAAAATGATTGACACAGTCATCATGAGACTCGGGGATAACAAATGTGGGGGATGAGTTGCCAAGCCTAGTGCCTGGCACACAGTAGACTCCATAATCAGCACCTCTTGTTATCCCTAGGCTGTGTGTGCACAGACTGTGGCCCAGAAGACACAGGGTTGTGGTTACTCTGGGGAGAGAAGCTGTGATATGCCCTCCCTGGAGTTTTTAGCCACATACTCACTCACTCTGGCAAACCTGGAGAGTTTTTTGGCTCGATATTCACCATTCAGGTAGTCAAAAGGGTTTCTCTGCAGCACAGGAATAATGGGGTTAAAGCAACATAGGACAGTTTGAAAGTGATGGGCACTTTGTTGCGTATGTGTGACACTCTGGACATGTCACTACTCACCGGCAAGTTGCAGGCGCTCTCCAAGAAGACCACGAGAATGGCGGTGGAAAGGCCACCATGGTCCTGCAAACAGACACAGACCCTCACTGGGTACTCCCAGCAGCAGGAGAGAAAGACTGGTTTTGGAGAAGCCTACTCATGGCAGAAGAAAAGTCAGCTAGCCTTCACACTCCAGACTAGCTGCCGGAGGACATCTCACAACCTAGCCTTTTGTCGAGGTTAGGAATATAACTGGTGCATGACAGATTCAAGTTAGACACTGAGTGGATTTCCCTGTGAACTGGGAGGACAGGCATTGACACAGAGTTCTGAGGACCCCATCATCTAAAGATGATGGAGATGCTCAGAGGACATTTGCTGAGAGCCATCAGGAGCTGCCCTGTGTGGAGACGGGCTGAGTGACATGTTCTTCAGGAGGTCAGCAAGAACAGGGGGCATCATCTCCCTCCCTTCCTTCCACCTGCACACAGCTGGCACATGTGCTCCTCCACCTTTCTGCTAGGGAGCCCTTGACACCCCACACTCACCTCGGTCAGAGCTTCCTGGTCGGTAAGCAATGAAAGCCACTCCAGCCGCAGGTGCAGCTGCCCGCTGGTTGTGTCATTCAGGACAAACCACTGTGGGGCAGGGGCGGAAGCTCAGGGCAAGGGCCAGGGAGACGCTACTGATGCTCTCTGGGCAGCCCAGTCCTGGGACCTGGTATCCTAGTAGGGACAGGGAAACCCAGTCCTAGTATGGGAAAAGGTAGACCAGCCCAGACAGGGTATGCTCTGGGCTCAGAGGGACTGGGAGATGTGGTTATAGGAAGACAGAAGTGCTACGCTGTGGGATTAAAAAAAACCCAGGCCCAGCCCACCCTCCCCTATAATGTGACTGTCCCCTGCTGGGGTCCTTAGTCTGTGGGTATTTCCCAGGGAAACTTCTTCCAGCCGGGGCCCTGGAGAATACCCTGGGGAGTTTCCTGGAGCCATCAGTGCCTCACCCAGCTCTTGCCCTGAGGAGGGACATGTGTGCAGCCCAGCACAGAGGGGGACCACAGCATAGGAATAGCTGGGCTGAAGCAACCTGCTAGAGATGTCCACAGGAAAGGGCTACCTTGAAACTCCCCCGAGGGTTGCAAGCACCAACTGTACCTCATCCACCACTCTGTTGGTCATGACATCTCCAAGGCAGATCTGCAGGCTGGAATATATAGGGAGAGGAGATTGGGTCAGTTCTGAGGAAGAAAGCAGCAGAGGGCATGGAGGCCCACACTGGACTCTGTTTTCAGATATCTGAGTGCGGCCATTAAGACAAAATCTTACTCACCCCAAGGAACCAATGGGAGACCAGCATCAGCTTGAGTGAAGGAAAGACTACCTACCATCAGGGCTGCTCCCACTGGGTGTGCTACCTGGGGAGGAAGGGAGCTCCCATACCCAGAGGGGATAAGCAGAGGCTGCTGGACACATCACCTCTGGATTTCTCAATGACAGCGCAACTAGCATTTTGAGTGAGATGATTCTTCATTGTGCAAAACTACCCATGCATTGCAGGAATTTGGCCTCCTGGTCCTGTGCCCTTTAAATGCCAGAGCACTACCCCTCACAGCCATGTTAATAACCCCAAATGCCCCTTCATTTCCAAAACTACCCCAGGTGCCCTACAAGGGATAAGTATAGTTGGCATGTGATGTAGTTTGGATGTCTGTCCCCTCCAAATCTCATGTTGAAATGTGATCCCCAATGTTAAAGGTGGGCGGGGCCTAGTGAGAGGCGTTTGGGTCATGGGGGCAGATCCCTCATGAATGGCTTGGTGCCCTCCCCACAGTAATGAGCTCATGCAAGATCTGGTTGTTAAAAATAAGCTGGGATATTCTCACTCCTCTTGCGCTCTCTCTCTCTCTCGCCATGTGACATACCTGATCCCCCCTTCACCTTCTGCCCTGAGTAAATGCTGGCACTATGCTTCATGTACAGCCTGCAGAACCATGAGCCAGATAACCCTATTTTCTTTATAAATTACCTGGCCTCGGGTATCCTTTATAGCAACAAAATATGGACAAACACAGCATGTGTGTGTGAGAGGAGATAACACTCACACCACAGCTTGCCCCTAACTCACCCTGAGCCAAGCCCAACCAGAAGGTCCTGATAGCCAGAGGGGAAAATGTAATTCTATATAACTGTAAGAAATGTGCTTAAGCTCAAAACACACCTGAAATCAGTTATTAATACATAAAGCATGACCCACAAGCCACACTTCTAATCTGCAACATTACAAAAATTGCAACTGTTTCAAGATAAAAATACAAAATGATAAGCAACATCTAGTGGTGAATCTGTGTGTGTTAACATCCAGGCTAATACACACAGATTCTGCGTGTTTCTTAAACTGTCAGGTTGTGCCCCTCCCAGTTTGGTTTCCACTTTTCAAAATTACATGATCATGGAAACAAGCTAAACAACACAGGAGTCTGAAAATGTGGGTAAAACTGCCTTTTCTGCTTCCTCATCTGATAAGCGGTGTTAACAGCCTGCCTTTCTCTGCTAACATGAACACATGCAAAAATACGCATTCAAGGTTCCTCTCCCATTTGAGGATGACTCAAATGACATGTTATGCCCAGCTGCTCTCCCCCACTTCGTAATGGGTGTCCTCCGGGTTAAGACACAGAGATTCTACTTGTTTTTCAGAGCTGCAGAATATTCTGTAGTTTGGCAATGGAAAATTTATTCAAACATTCAGCCAATGTCCTCTGAGGTTAGATATTCATTTCAGGGATGGGGGTGTTGTTTTTCTTCTATGGATAGTTCTGTAATAAACATTTCAGATACTAGGGCTTTTATTTTATAGGAGATCCTGGAAGTGGGACTGCTGGATCAAAATACATGTAAGTTTTAAATTCTGATAGCCAGCCCCACCCTGATCATTTTAGTTCTCCCATACCCCTGAAGGGCTGAGTTCTACCCCCTAAAGCATGGCCCAGGGTTCCTTGGAACTGGGCATCTGGCCATCCATGCCAGCCTTGTCCACTACTCCAAATGGGGACTTCGTACATTATCAAGAAGGCAGAAAGCAGAGCCATAATATACAAATCTTGGGGTCCTCTCTGTACCCCCCAGGGCCTAGGTCAGGCTGGGCACTTGGGAGACATCTGGGAAGGTTTGTGGTAGGAATGTAGAATGGTGAGGCAGGTTGCCTGGCACAGTCACCATGTCAGGGTGACCAGAGAGGATTGCTAGTCATTAAGTGGTAGGAGCAGGGTATTTATGTCCCAAGGCCCAGCCCAGCACCCTACAGGGAGGGAAGGCTGCCTCCAGGCCCAGCTGTGCGCCCTCCTCCTCACCTGCCCAGGAAGTCATCCCTGTCGGTATCCTCATCATACAGGTCGACCTCCAGGTCCTGCCCAGGGACTTCGTACACCATGAACTGGAAGGAAAAAGAGGTGTCTTGACCTGCAGGCAACAGCTGACCTTATGTATGACCCAAGGGGAGTCAAATCGTGGCTCAGAATGCTAGCAGGGTCCTGATCTCCTCAGTGCCTCGAGAACCCCACCCATAAGGGAGTGAAGTCCCTCCCCTGTGGGGGGAAGAGAAGATTAAACATGTGTAAGCCATGGCAGAGCAGGTGCCCAGGAGACAGTGGCTGTTTGTTCTGCATGGGCTCTGTGGTGTCCAGAGCACCTCTTCATGACATTCTCCTGCCCCTCTGTGGGTCTGCAATACCAGGAAGCCCCAAGCTGCCTTTTAGTACCCCTGCTTTCACTGCCTCACCCCAAATGTAACAGAGCATCCAGATGGTGTATTAGGAGAGGAAGTTCAGAGGGGTCACCTAGGATGTGTAATCTGGGGGCCTTAACAGGCTGTGGGTCCCACCCTTCAAACGGTAGGGATTGTGGTTGAACTTAAGGAAGAACTTCAGGATCCTGATGTTTGACTGACAGGGGAGGTTGAGAGGAGTGGAGCAGAAATGCCTCTAAGGCTCTTTCTCTTTGATTTGGAAACTTCTAACAAAATTGGAAGGGGAAAGGAGGTAGGAATTTGCCTTCAGGCTGGCCCTTTAGTCGCGCCAGAGTAACCTACTCTGGAAGCCTGGTAGATATGGGAGCGGGAATCCCACAGACCTGCCTGTCTCCAAGGCCTACTCCCTGCCTAGTGTTGCTCCTGGATTGCCTCTGCCCAGCATGACTCAGAGTGAAGGCTGGAGGGTATCAAGGGATTCAAGGGATTCCAGGAGCAGCCAAGAAGACCCTTACCTCAAATACCTCGTTCCAGGTGGGGTTCAGGTTCCTGTAGATGGTCCTACTCCGGAAATGCTGCAGGCCAATGCTCACCTTGGCGTAGGGATCTGACTTGCCTCGGAGCCCCAGGAAGTTGTCTTTCTGGGCCAGCTTCTCTGCCTCCAGCAAGTGCACTCTGATCACCCCCTGGAAAATGTCCAAGCCCAGGGCTCACAGCTGCTTCCTGGGGCCTCCAAGTCCTGGAGTATCAGAGCTAAAGCCATCAGAGATCACTGCTTCCCCCACATTGCCCCCTCCATGGTCTGGACCGGGAGATAGAAGCCAGATATGGCAGTGACCTGGCCAAGGCCACACAGCAAGTGATGGCAGGGCTCTCTCCATCAGTATGCCCTGCCCACAGCCCTGGCCTCCCCACTCCCTACCTCCAAACTGCCACATGAATGGCTTACACAACTGCAGCTGTTTGTCTCCCTCCTGTGCCAACAATCATGACACCTAAGGAAGCTTCCTCCTTTACTCTAGCCCCCTCTGTTGTGTGTCCTACATGTAGACTTCTACAAGGGAATTCTAGCATCCCTTCTCCTGGCCCCTGTGGGCAATGCCGGCTGCTGACAGGAGGTCCCTGCACTCCTAAAGGCCCCAACACTGAGCCTAATCCCCACCACACTCTGGACTGTGCTATAGGGCAGACCCTCCCCCAACACTTGCAATGGATAGAGTTTAAAAGGAAATGAAAGAGATATAACTCTGTTAATAAAGACAGGAGCACAGGAATTAGGAAAGGCATAGTTCATGGGCTTTGAGGTATATCTCCTTCCTAGAATTTTTTTTTAATATTAGTAAATACATATGCATTTACTCTTTGACCCAGAAATCCCACTTCTAGGAATCTGTCCCAAGGGCATACTAGCAAAAATATAAAGACATGTATGCAAGGCTATTTATTACACTACTATTTGTAATAGTGAAAGACCCAACACAACATAATGGTCCATCAATAGGAACTGTGTTGAATAAACTTCAGTACATTCCCACAGTGAAGTACTTTGGAGCTCTTAAAGAGAATGTGGAAGATCTCTACACTATCATGGTATGATCCCCATGACACACTCAGTGTTAAAAGCACACTGAGGGCCAGGCGCAGTGCTTACACCTGTAATCCCAGCACTTTGGGAGGCCGAAGTGGGCGGATCACCTGAGGTCAGGAGTTCGAGACCAGCCTCGCCAACATGGTGAAACCCAGTCTCTACTAAAAATACAAAAATTAGCCAGGCTCGGTGGCGTATGCCTGTAGTCCCAGCTACTCAGAAGGCTGAGGCTGGAGAATCACTTGAACCTGGGAGGTGGAGGTTGCAGTGAGCCAAGATCGTGCCACTGCATTCCAGCCTGTGTCACAGAGCAAGACTCCCCACCGCCACCTCCCCCCAATCCCCCCCCCCCAAAAAAAGCACACTGGGGAAAACTGTACTATGCTGCCATCTATCGAAGAAAGGGGGAATTTGAATATAAGCAAATATGTGTCATATGACCATATATATTTGTTCATATTAAGTAACAATGGCCAGGTATGGTGGCTCATGCCTGTAATCCCAGCACTTTGGGAGGCTGAGGCAGGCAGATCACTTGAGCCCAGGACTTTGAGACCAGCCTGGCCAACGTGGCAAAACCCTCTCTACAAAAAACACAAAAATTAGCCAGGCGTGGTAGTGCACACCTGTAGTCCCAGCTACTCGGAAGGCTGAGGCAGGAGGATTGCTTGAGCCCAAGAGGTGGAGGCTGCAGTGAGCTGTGATTGTGCCACTGCACTCCAGCCTAGCTAGGCAACAAACCAAGACTCAATCAATCAATCAATCAATAAAATGGAAGGATAAACTATTACTTATAAGTGAAGGGTGGGGAGTAGGTGGAGGGAACAAGGGATAGAAGCCAGACTCCTTAAAATGTAATTTGTTTTTTAGTTGAACTTCGGAAGTGTACAACTACTTTACATAATTGTAAAAGGAAGTTAAGGTAAAAAACCCTAAAAATGGAAAATAGAATGAAACAAGTCAATGTAAATATTCATGGCCAGTTGTCACAAACAGGAAATATTCCAAGTAAGTTTAAAATGCAATAAATTTGACACCACCTCCCAACTGGGATACACCCCAAGGACAAAATGTCTTTAGTAATTATGACGTGGGCAATGGGGTTTGTACCGTTATTCTGGGACCATCAAGCATTAGTGTGAAATAAAGCCAATGCACCACATATGAAGGCTGAGAGGATATTTGCGCTGCCTCCCAGCAGGCTGGTCTGTGGCCAGCACTGGCTACTCACGCAGGGCAGAGGGAAGCGCAGGTTGGTCAGATCCAGCCCCTTCTTCACAGGCACAGTCACACGGTTAGGCAGCACCAGGTGGGCAGCAATGAGGTCCTCCAGCAGGCTGTCTGACACCTCACTGGACACAAGGCAGGACCAGCTGTGGAGGGGTGCCACCGCCTCCCCCATGCCACCTGCCACTCCATCCCTAGCAGAAACCAGGAGCCCAGCCTGGTAGGGTGGGCCCCACCTACAGAACAGCCCTGACCCCACTTGCCTGGGTAGGGGTGGGTGTGCCTATACATCGTGACAGCCCCTGACATTCTATCTCAACAGCAGTCCTCCCACCTACATGTGCCCGACTCCCTCTGCCTCCAGGCTACTTTGTTCTTGGAGGTCACACAGCACGGTGGCTAAGAGCAAGGCTGGTGCCTGTGTTAGAATCTCAGCTCCACCACCGACTAGCTGTGTGGCCTTGGCAAGTCGCTAACCTCTCTGGACCTCAGCATCCTCACCTCTAACCTGGGGCTAAAAATGCATGTTCCTGGGGTTGTTTGTTGCCTGACTCCACCTCCTGGTACTGGGGGTCAGGGATGGTGCCTGGAACAGGGCTGGCACGGTGTAAATGCTCAGTAAATACTTTTAGAATAAAAGAACGCATGCCTGGATTCCCTTTGTCCAGTGTGGGTGAGATCCATGCAGATGTCAGTGAATGAGTGAGTCAGCGGCCCTCCCGAGCCTGACAAGCCAGCCGGTGCCAGCCCTGGCCAGTCCAACTGTCCCTTCCTCCTGGGGAGGTGTGTCCAATAGGGCTGGTGCCCTTCTCTGTTCCTCTCATGGGGCCTGGGGCTCTGAGAGGAGCCCTCACTTGCCCCCCAATGGTGAACTCTCTAGGACCAGCTGCTCCTCACTGGCCTCTGCTGTGGCAGTGCCCCTTCCATGCCTATGTTTGTGACCACGGTCAGGGCAAGTCACATAGGCTTCTCACCACACATTTGGTTTGGGAGGGGTACAGTGAGGAAAAAAGGAGGACACTCGTGTGTCCACACCCAATGTGCCGCCACCGCACGGCTGAGTGTCCTCCGAGGGACCCAAGGCAGAGGAACCAGGCTCCCCTTTTACTGAGGAAGAGCCCAGAGAGGTGAAGCAACTTCTCCACATTCACTCAGTTGCTAAGTGACAGAGCCAGGAGCTGGCTGCCTCTGGTTCTACAGCCACCACACAGCCTCCCCTCGGACCACATCTCAGCAGACACAGCCACTCTCCCCTGCACCAGGACGGGGACCTGAATGTCAGCCCAACATTCAGCAAAGGACTTCTTGCCTACTACATGGGTGTGTGTGTGTGTGTGTGGTGTGGGCGGGGGGTGTGCTGGTACAGTGCACACCCACAGAGGCCACACAACACCGTTACCTCCCGCTCCCACTCGCACTTCAAACAGACCAATGCTTCTCCCTCCGCAGGGAGCACCAGGAGGGAAGGCACCACCATCGCACAGCTCCTGTCACTGGCTGCAGAGCCCTGGAGGCCCCCACATTTACGATCTCCCTCGAGGCTCTCCCAGGCACCTACTTGATTCCCGGTGCATCCAGCAGGTTGGTCAGGCCAGTCCAGTTGATCTGTAGGTGCTTCAGGGGCAGAGGGAAGCTATTAGTCTGGAAAGGGCTGGTAGCCCAGGGCTGAGAACCCCCTGCCAAGAGCCTCACACCCACGTGCATGGAGAACCCAGCCTGTCCGGGTGGGGGTTCCGGGGAAAGCAGGCAGAGCACCCTCTGCCAGGGTGTCAGGCAGGTGCGGCCACCTTCCAGCCCAGCTCAGGCATCTAGCGGTATTGAGGGCCCAGGCCTCAGCTCAGGATGGGGCAGGGGTTGTGGAACCTGCTGCTTCCTGGGCAGAACCCCCACAGGAGTGGGATCGTCCACATGGCCACAGGCTGGCCTGGACTTTGAAAACTCTGAGTTTGAGCCTTGGCTCCAATTCAGACCGTCTGTGTGACCTTCTCTGAGCTCAGCTGCCTCATCTTGGGGAGGATTAAATGAGATAAGGAGTGTGACTGCCCAGGTCTCGGTGGGCTTGGACAATGTCCATTCTTGGGCTCAAACCCAATGTCTAGGGCCCAGCAGACCAGTGCCTACTCCCAGGGAGCAGCAGGCTCACCGCAGTCCCTGGGACTCACCGGCTTCTGAAGGAAGAACACAGTCACGGCTCCCACGAAGGGCTTGTCCACTAGGAGGGGCTCCAGGATGACCCGCAGGGTGCCCTGCAACTGGATAGGCACAGAGGGCCCGTGAGGGGCCCAGGCCTCCTTTCTCCCCATGCCTGCTGCACTTAGCTGAGGCCATCTGCTGCCTCATATCATGCCCATGCTGCCCCACATGTCAGGACCACCTGCCCCAGGCTGCTGGCGCTCACAGCAGGAACCATACTTAAGGTGCCGAGGCCTGGACACAGCTGCCACCTCTTGCCAGCTACCAAGAGGCCCTGAGCTGGCCCCACCGCCCTCCACAGGTATGCTGGCCTGAGAGACCTATAGCCTTTGCCAAGTTTTGGGCTGGCCCAGTCAGCAAGGACCCAGAATGATTTCCAGGCCCAAATCAGCTCCTCTACTCCCGCCGAGAGTTATTTTCACCTCCTGGGTCCACCTCAGTGTCTAAGCAATGGCTTTCCATCGCTCCATGAACAGCACCTCTCTCCTCGCCAGGCAGCCAAAGCCTCTCCAGGGCCTCTGCAGTCAGATGAGGCTGGGGGTCTCTAGAGCACAGTAGTGGGTTGGTGAAGCCCCGCCACCACTTCCTGGCCATGTGACCCTCAGGCCTACAGCTCCTCTGTAGTCACCATCCTGTGTGTTTAGTGTCGCCACCGCCTTCTGCAGCCTACTCTGGCATGACCCGGCTTCCCCTTCCCTGATCCCCACCCTGGGGGCTGGAACAGAGGCGGCCCCACCGGGCTCCACCCACCTGGATCCCGTTCACACCAGCCTGAATCTTCTGCAGCTCCACACTGATCTCACAGTCCCCGATGTAGCTGAAATGGGGGGTGGAGAAGGAAGGTGGGGAGGAGGGACAGGTCCACCTGCTCAGAGAGGTTGGGAAACTTGCCCAGTGTCACACAGCCTGAGCCCAGGCAGCCAGTTGCCAGCCCTGAGCTCTGTGTACTGGGCACATGGCCTAGTAGCCTCAGTCTTTCTAAGCTTTGCTCAGACCTGACCCAGACCCTGATCCAAGCCCAGACCCCAGGGGGCAGCCCCTGTGCGCCCCTGCATTCAGGTATCCCAGGCATATCCTCATCTCTGACTATTGACAGCAGGGACTCTAGGCACTCACCTCACCCCACGATACCCTAAAGATGAAAAGGAGGGGCTCTTCATAAACACACTGCCCACCTTTCCACCCCTGTTGTCCCCCTGTCCCATCTCTGCCCAGATGTCTTTCATGAGGACACAGAAGCAGCCCCCACTGCATACATCCCAGGTGCTGCTGGGGCTGGTGGAGGTGGGCAAAGGTAACAAGGCCTCAGGCTTCAGCATAGAAGCCGGAGTCCATCCAGTGGCTCCTGCCAGGTGATGGGCACAGGGAGCCCAGAATGGGTGCCCTTGAGGGTAAAGATCAGCAGATCCTGTGAAAGCACTGAAGGAGACTCGGGAGGGAGAGGGCAGCCAGCACACATGCGCAGGGCACAGGCAGAGGAGCCCAATGTCACAAGTTGTGCAAAAACTGAGCGCCTCTTGAAAGGGTAGGAGTGAGCCAGACAGGGGAAATGGGGACCGCAGGAGCTGCCTGGGCAGCTGAGTGGGCCACACAACCTCGATGTGCCCTATTTCTACAAGGATCTCGTGGCACAGCCCCAGGGGCTGGGAGCACCTCATAGCCGGTGGCCATCCCAACACACTTGGGACCAGCCCCCAAAGGGGGACGGGTGGTCCGAAGAACTGGCTCCTATCTTCCCAACATTCTGTCAGTGCCAGCCTCTAGGCTAAGGACAGAATGAGACATGGGAAAGGAATGGCAACACTCTGGATCCTCAGAAGTTCGTTGTCTTTTTAGTGCAAATCTTGCCGCTTCCAGGAAGGCTTCCTGGAATGAATCTCCCTTCTTCCTGACTCACTCCCATTATGAACCTCATTTCAAAGAGATATCCTTGCCCAACCCCCTGAACTAGTCACTTATGTGTCTTTGCATTCTGTATTTTCCTGAGGTGCCACAGAGCCCAGGTCTCCAGCTGACCTCTCACAGCCTGTGCTTAGAGTTCCCTGGGCCTCACCATGAGTCCTCACATCTTCTTGTCACACTTGCTCCCACCAGATACATCCTCTCTGAGGCAGCTGGTCTGACCCTCCAAGCGACCCAGCCCTGGCTTCCAAGAAAGCTCTGCTGCCCAGGCCTTGGAACCCAGAGTATGCCAGGGGATGGGAGAAGCTGGGAGGAGGGGAGCGTCCTGTGAGGGGTTCTACATCCCAAGTCAGAGTGTATATATACTACTCCATCTTCAAACTGGCTGTTCCCACAGAGTGTCCTCTTCACCCCCTGAAACCCATACCCGGCCCGATAGAGCTCACCAGATCTGCAGGTCCACAGTCACACGCCTTCGGTTGCACTTGTTAGTATGTGCCTTGACACCGTTGACCCTGGGGCACTGGAAGAAATGCCAACAGGGCTAGGTCAGACGCTTCTTGTAGCAGGGGACAGCTGCCAGCCCTTCCCCCGGCACTGGGCTTTATCAGCAACAAGTATGACCACCAGGATGAGGCACAGACGTGTAAATCCATCCTGCAGCCCAGAGACTTCCCTCCCTAGAATGTGCCCCCTCCTTTCTCTCCCTTCCTGCCATGACTCACACAACCACAGAGTGGCCGAGGCCAGGCCTGTTGTTCATGCCCAATAGCAAACTCTGGAAGTGGGTCCTTTTCCTCTACACGTGAGGAACCTGGAGCTTAGAGAAGTCAAGTCACTGGCCCCACAGCACAGGGTGGAGCTGGGCATAGGCATGGGAACTGGAGGAAGCCGGCAATACTCACGGGTGTGAATGAACGCTTATGGCAGCTGAAAAAAATAATGTTTATGGGTGTGTGAAGAAAGGGGGTGTGGTGAGTGCACTGGGTCCTGGCCAAGCCCAGGAGGGTCGTGTGAGGAGTCCTCTGTGACCCCACAATGGAGAGGAGGGGACATGTGGGGAATGGGAGAGCAGAGGGGAGGAGGGAGGGGCCGGGACATGAGGAGCGCTGAATGCCAGCATCAGGAGGCAGGTGTTTCTCCTGCAGGGCTGGGACGTCTGTTCAGCCTACAGCTTTCCCCTCCAGGTTCCTCTGATGTGGTAAATATCACTTCTTAGGATTGCTTGCCAGCAGTGCTGCGTCCCATAGACCAAAGGTCCGCAATCTTTTTGGCACCAGGGACCAGTTTCTTGGAAGACAATTTTTCCACAGACCGGGGGTGGGGTGGGAAATGGTTTTGGGATGAAACTGTTCCACCTCGGATCATCAGGCATTAAAGTCTCATAAGGAGTGCGTGACCTAGATCGTTCACATGCACAGTTCACAGCAGGGTTTGTGCTCCTATGAGAATATAATGCTGCTGCTGATCTGACGGGAGGCGGAGCTCAGGCGGCAATGCTCGTCCTGGCTGCTGACCTCCTGGTGTGTAGCCTGGTACTGAGAGCTGGGGACCCCTGCCATAGATACAACCACCAGAGGAGCAGCCTGGCTGAGCAGGCTCTGATGTGAACACAGCACTCTGCAAGCTTCGTGGCTCTTAGCCTGCTGAATTCTTCAAAAGCCAGCTGAGCTATCACCGTTTCCTGGAAGTCTTCCCTGACTCCCACAGCCCCTCCACCCCTCCATTTCTGAGCTCGCATTCCTCTGCCATCATGCATGCGTATACTGCCATGTCGTAATGCACAGGTTGATGTGTCCCGCCCACAGAAGGGGTGCAGCCACACCCAGCTCTAGAATGCCCAGCACACAGCACGTGCTCAGTAAGTCACAGGTGAATGAAACAAGAAATGAATGCATGAACCAACAGATGCTGGCACAAGCCAGTTTGAGTGGCAGAAATCCCAATCTCCAGGGCTCAGGCCTGCCTAATCCACCCCTGCCCAGGGGCTAGCCAGGCAGGGCTGGCAGACAGCTCTCAGCAGGCTGGCCTGTACTTGGACACCTGCTCGTTGCTGGGAAGACCGGATGCCAATGCCTCTCATTTACTAGGTCACAGTGGTCTCTGGCTGGGGGATACATTTTGGATGATCAAAAGACTCAAGTCACTGGGGGGCACTTCGAGGCAGGAGGAGTAGGGCACCAAGGCTGAAACACGAAGCCCAGTCTAGACAGGGACCGTGACACTAGGTGTGCTGACACAAACTTCCTTGGCCACAGACCATTTCATCCTGGGACACCTGCTGATCTTCACAGAACTAGCATGGACTTGTGACACTGAGTGACATAACAGCCAATTAGTGGAGAATATAAAGCGCTTGGCGGCACTGACTACCCAAACCGTGAGCGTGTGGTCACCGGCACTGAGGTTAGCAACTATGATTTCCATCTTTCTATCTGTCTGGCTACCACCATGGCATGTCTTCAAAGTTTTCCTTAAGAAAAGTGGAAATACCTCCCACCTCTCCTTTCTGTTCCCTCTGAGCCAGGCTTCCTTGGAACCTGGGGAGATGGTGGTACAGGGATGTGGGGGAAGGGTGTCCACTGAGGCTGACAGGCTAGGAAATGCAGGTGGTGGTGGGTGGTGGTGGTGGTGGTGGGTGGTGGTGGGTGGTGGGTGGTGGGTGGTGGGGGTGGGGTGGGTGGTGGGGGTGGTGGGGGTGGGGTGGTGGCGGTGGGGGTGGCGGGGGGTGGGGGCGGTGGGCGGTGGGGGGGGGTGGCGGTGGCGGGGGGTGGGGTGGCGGTGGCGGTGGCGGGGGCGGTGGGGGGCGGGGGCGGGGGCGGGGGCGGGGTGGCGGGGGTGGCGGGGGCGGTGGCGGTGGGGGTGGCGGTGGCGGTGGGGATGGGGGTGGTGGTGGTGGGGGTGGTGGTGGTGGTGGTGGTGGTGGTGGGGATGTCTCCCTGTAAGGTCCAGTGGGATCTTTGCAGTCATATGACTGACCTGGATGGGGGAAAGGTGGGAGGAGAGGAGACAGAGAAAAGACTGCACAGCCAGCCCAGGCTGACCCTCCCGAGACACACCCACCTTCTGTCCAAAGTAGAGCTTGGTAAAGGTAAAGGTCCTCAGGTGGATGCTCTTCTCCCGGATCTTGGGCTCAAGTTTCTCCCGGAACTTGCTTTCCATGATCATGCTCAGGTAGGGCCAGGTCTGAGAGATGATCTGTGAAGATGGGAAGAGGCCCTTGGTAGTCAGGTCTATACTCCCACCGCAGACCCAGAGCTGCATGGGACAAGGTCCTGATTCTCTGCAGCCTGGTCTTGGGGTGGGGGTTCCTATGCTGCAGCACTCACCTGCCTGCCTGCCCACCCATCTGCTCACCTGTTCACCTGTCTGTCCTTCAAACATCTGATAACTACAGCCGTGGTTCCCACTGTCATGCAGGCAGCAGGACCCCAAGATTTGGTGCTATTCTGCAGAGCACCATGAAATACTCATTCGCTACATTTAATATTAGGAAGCCCTTTAGTTCTCTGCTAAGACATGATCTCATTCTACACTGTGGTTTAAACAAAAAGTAGTAGACGCAAGAAGTTTAAGAACAAAATTACAGAAAGAAAGTTAAATTGTTTCCTGTGGATTTAGTTTTCTAACAATCAGAAAAGGCAGCCTTTGCCTGATTTCTGCAGCAGAATGACTCACTGTGCTGGTTTGGGAACCAAGTGCAGGACCTGAGGAGCAGGAAGATGGCAGAGACAGAGGAGGATGGTGGAAATCAGAGGGGAATGGAGGGAGGGCCAGCCAGCAGGTACATTCTGTTTGGGGCAAGGCTTCTCCATCTTCTTTTTTTTTCTTAAATGGAGTTTTGCCCTTGTTGCCCAGGCTGGAGTGCAGTGGCACGACCTCGGCTCACTGCCACCTCCAACTCCTGGTTCAAGTGATTCTCCCGCCTCAGCCTCCCAAGTAGTTGAGATTACAGGTGCCTCCCACCACACCTGGTGATTTTTTTTTTTTTTTTAGTAGAGTTGGGGTTTCACCATGTTGCCCAGACTGGTCTTGAACTCCTGGCCCCAAGTGATCTGTCCACTTCGGCCTCTCAAAGTGCTGGGATTACAGGCGTGAGCCACGACGCCTGGCCTTTTTTCTTTTAAGACAAGGTCTCACTCTGTCGTCCAGGCTGGAGTGCAGTGGCATGATTACAGCTCACTGTAGCCTCAACCTCCCTGAATTAGGTGATCTCCCACCACAGCCTCCTGGGTGGCTGGGACTACAAGCGTGCACCACCACACCTGGCTTTTTAATGTTTTTGTAGAGATAGGGTCCCCCTATGTTACCCGAGCTGATGGATGTTGATCCAAGATTGCTATTTTCACATTACCAGAAGTGTCACTGCTGAGTGCATCAAAAAGCATTCCCTAGCCGGGCATGGTAGCACACACCTGGGTACCAACTTCCTTGGGAGGCTGAGGCAGGAGGATTGTTTCAGCCCGGGGGTTCAAGGCCAGCTTGGGCAACATAGCAAGACTCCATCTCAAAAACAACAGTAACAAAAATAAAACAGAGAACATTCTCAGCCTCTGGGTAAATTTGGAAGAAGCAGGTTGCTGCTTTAAGAGGAGTGACTGGGTTTCTAGGGATTCATGCAGGACCCAGTGCCTCTGGGGCAAACCTTGTCGAGTTCCTTCTGTACTGTGTTAGCTGGTCCTTCTGTACTGTGTTAGCTGGTCCTTCTGTACTGTGTTAGCTGGTCCGTGGATCTCCGCCTGTGCTCGTCTTTCTTTCAGTAATACACAGAGGCCTACACAAGGCATTGGAGATACAAGACTGTATCTTTCCTGTGGGCTTGGGCTTCAGTTTAAATATGCATGTCCTTCCTCCATGTGCCCCTTCCAAAGCCATCACTGGAGGAGCCTAAAGGCTGTGAGATTCTAGGGCTCATTGTTCCCATCTCTCTCAAAGGCCTCTCCAAATCCCAGGTTCTACTTCCTCGGGTCTGATCTCATCTTCCTGTCTCGCTGGTTTGTCACTGGCCAAGTGCCTCCTGAGTATAAAGCTCGTTAGGACACACTCGGCGCCCTAGTATGTAGTTTTCCTACACAACTGTCTCTGTCTCCCCATCCAAGACGAAGGTGGGAGCCTCATATCCCAACAGTCTTATATCTCCAATGCCTTGTGTAGGCCTCTGTGTATTACTGAAAGAAAGACGTAACGCAGGCGGAGATCCACGGACCAGCTAACACAGTACAGAAGGACCAGCTAACACAGTACAGAAAGAACTCGACAAGGTTTGCCCCAGAGGCACTGGGTCCTGCATGAATCCCCAGAAACCCAGTCACTTCTCTTAAAGCAGCAACCTGCTTCTTCCAAATTTACCCAGAGGCTGAGAATGTTCTCTGTTCTTTTTTTGTTGCTGTTTTTGACATGGAGTCTTGCTATGTTGCCCAAGCTGGCCTTGAACCCCCGGGCTGAAGCGATCCTCCTGCCTCAGCCTCCCAAGGAAGTTGGCACCCTGGTGTGTGCTACCATGGCCTGCTAGGGAATGCTTTTTGATGCACTCAGCAGCGATACTTCTGGTAATGTGAAAATAGCAATCTTGGATCAACATCCATCAGGAAGTCCTTTCGTATACCTAACCTAAGTCATTCCTGCTACGGGCTAAGCCTCCTCCCAGAGGCAAGGTTTGTATTAGAAAAATTCCTCAGTCAGGAGGCTTGAGCTGGGGGCTGCCATGGAGCCCGCACAGTTAGGGACAGGTCTGGGCAGATCAGGGAGGGGAAGGCCTCCGGTCTGTCCTCTGTGAAGTCGGGATTCCTGCTGGGGAGGGCTCGGCCAGGGGTCATCATCCAGCAGGGGCCTCCTTGGGACACCTGGCAGCAGAGCCCAAGGGGAGTTCCCAGGGGTGACCTAACAGCAATTACAGTAGTGACGTCAGTGAATCGAGCCAGGGCGAGGACTCTAATTATTCCCATTTTACGGATAAGGAAACCAGCTCAGAGGCGTTAGGCAGTCTGCCCAAGATTGCACAGCAATGGCGTTGGATCTAGGCAGGAAACCAGGCAGAGTCCAGAAGCTGTTGGCCAATGTCTTCCTCTCCCTAGGCAAGTGCAGCTCCACGACCTGGCGGGCCAGTGGGGATTGTACTTTTCTCTAGACTTCTCTGTATCTTCTAACTCTTCTGGTGTGACCACATATTAATTTAAATTTGTTGTTGTTGTTAACGAAAGCAAGTCATTCTGGTGAAAGAAGAGGGAAAGGGAGCATCCCTGCCCGCATCAGGCAAGGGAACTGCCGCCTGGCCCCCATTAGGCTGCTGGAGGCTGGTGTGCGTCCGGCCCTGCTAGGCCCCGCCAGCGGCCTTACCTTGTTGGCCCACTCGACCCGCTCCACGTCCGGGAAGTGGATCTAGGAAAGAAACCCCGAGGGGAAGTCAGACTTGAAGCCGCATACCCCCTGGGAACCAAGCAAGCCAGCCTGGCGGGTTCCCCATTCCGCCCACGCGCTGCGCCTCACCCCTTCCTCCCCGCTGCCTCCAAGTGTGCTCTCAGCACCCACTCGGCCCCCAGCCCTGGCAACTCAGATCCGGTCCTGCCCTCAAATAGCTCATCATCCGGTGGAGCAGGCAGCAAATCAACAGACAACGAGCTGGCACTGATTCCACAGTGCAGCCCAGCTCCAAGGCTCGCGTGGGCGTTTCTGGGCACGTGGTGGCAGGCAGGACAGGACTCCACACCGTTTCACCCCTCCCCTCCGACCCAGCCCCACACCTAGACCGAGGTGGGAGAGCACATGGAAGGCGAGGAGGAAAGGGAGGGCTGGAAACTGCTGGTTTGCACACGCAAGTAAGTCCCCAGTCCTGGGGAAGCACAGGACCCCCGACGTGGATGCCCCCAGGATAACACTCGGGTTGCTCCTTGCAAATTCCATCCCCCTTACTCGTTTCAATGACACAAACAATATGCAGTCTCCATAGAAAAATTAGAAAATGCAAAAATCAGCTAAACAAAAACAAAAAACATTAGAGAAATCTACCACCCAATGATAGGTACTTAACAGCTTGATGTTTTCATGGGCAACTCGGGAGCAGGGTGCTGTGTGGCGCCCCTCCCACCTCTGCCCACCTTGGCTCCCAGAAGCCCCTCCCAAAACTCCTCCCTTCCCCTTAGGCCCTTCCTATAGTCACACAGCTTCCAACTATGGGGTCACAACCCCTAGCTACTCCAGCTCCACTTGCTGGGTGAACCCCAGTGTGGGAAAGGGGAACAGTGGAAGGTGAGTGGAGGGACAGTCCTGTTGGCTGACCTGTGCATGACATCATTCTGAGAGTGCTTAATCCCCCTCCAGGAGTCTCAGTCTCTGCTTCTGTCTGCTGAGCTTCTCATTCCCCCAGGGGTTTTCTTACAGAGGAGTGGGCATGGACCTGTACAGCGTACCTGCACAAAACACTGACGCCAAAACAGCAGCCACAGCCATCACTGTGGCCACTCCCCAAGTCCCCTGAGCATGAGGCTGGTTTGGGGTCAGATTCAGAGTGGGCCTGGGACCACCCACGGTGGGGAAAGGGCCTGCCCCCTCTATCTGGGAGCTCAGAAGGGCCTTGTCCTAGGACTAAGTAGATGTGTCCCTGCAGTTCACACACCTACTGTGCACCTACCAAGTGCCAGGTCCTCAGCCAGCTTTGGGGTTGCCCTAAAGATTCAAACACATGCCCTGGCCTGCAGCCCTCGCCCAGGATCACAGCCATTCCCAAAGTGGGGGACAGAGAAATTCAATTCTCCTGGAACAGTTAAACAGCCTTGATTGGTCAGAGGAGTCCAGTGCTTCTGAGACTCTTGGGACACCATTCTCCCATTCTCTCTTGGGATACTATTCTCCCAGCCTCAGTTTCCCTTGCTCTGGGCAGTGGCCTATACTAATTCAGAAAAGTTTATATTCCCAGGCATGGAAGAGAAAACGTGGCCTGATTCCCAGAGGTGCAGCTGGCCCAGCCCACAGAAACACAAGAGATCGACGCAGGAAGGAATTGTGGGGAGCGTGGGCAGGAGCTCGGTTCAGTGGGGGTGACGCTGCCTGCTCAGCACACATTCGCTGAGCTACCCTGGGTCAGGTCTCAGCTGGGAACCAGGCAAATGGGAGGCAAGACCTTTCCGTTGCTTCCTATTACACTGTCCAGTACTAAAGGAGAAACTCCTGCACATGGGCCTAGAAAGGAGACCCAGCTCATGTCATGGCCTCATCGCCTCCTCCCACTAGTCCCTTTCAATCCAACCACCTTTACCTTTTCTGTTCCTACCAAAGGCCTGCATGTGCCATATTGTGTGTCTGAAACAGTCCTCCCTGCTCCCCTTTGATTGATTCGCTCCTCACTACCTTAGACTTCACTTGCAGGAAGCCTCTCTGGGTCTCCCAAGTTGGGGATAAGTGAGGTGCCTGCTGGTTCTCCATTGCAGCATTTGATACACTTTACTACAGCTGCCTGGTCTTGCTGCCTACCTCCCTACACACTGGAGGCTCTAGGAGGGCTTCAAAAACAAAAACAAACAAGAGCAACAGAATGACCAAGACCCACACTGATTAAGCTGTCATGGTTTCTCTCAATTACCCACACCTGTATTTGCGGCTCCTACACGCTGGAAGCTGTAAGAGGCCTGACTGGGCCTCACCCCTATTAAGGCCTGTGTCTAACATATGAAGGTCTTAATAAATATTTGTGGAATGAATGAATGAGGCATGGTTCTTGCCCTCAACGAACTCACAGGCAGGCGACTAACAGATCACTCTGATACAGAATCATTACTAAGGTGGGAAGGGGGAACATCCTCAGAGGAACCTGCTGACCTCACCAGTAGCTGTCCTCCTTCCAGCCCAAGCATCACACTTCCCATCCCACACCCTTGGCCCAGGTTGTTTTGTGACTTCAGGAGCTGAGTAGTTCTGATCTCTGGACCCCAAAAGGTGATCCTGCTTGGTGGGTCTAACCCTGGCCACTCTTGGGAGTTGGTCAAATGAAGATTCCTGAGCTGCCTCATGCCACTGCATCAGAGTATATCAGGGTGGGGCTCACCAACTTATTTTTCACAAGCTCCTGGTATGATGCTGGAGTTCAGTCAGGGTTGGGATCAATGACCAGCTGACCCCTTGTGTCAGGGTGACCCACATGCATCCTGAAAATGTAGGAAGCAAGGCCGGGAATTGTGTCTCATGCCTATAATCCCAGTACTTTGGGAGGCCAAGGCAGTTGGATCACTTGATCCCAGGAGTTTGAGACCAGCCTGGCCAACGTGGTGAAACACCATCTCTACTAAAAAATATAAAAATTAGGTGTGCATGGTGGCACGCACCTGTAATCCCAGCTACTCAGGAAGCTGAGGCAGAAGAATTGGTTGAACCCTGGAGGCACAGGTTGCAGTGAGTCGAGATCACACCACTGCACTCCAGCTTGAGCCACAGAGTGAGACTCCATCTCAAAAAAAAAAAAGAGTAACAGAATGACCAAGGCCCACACTGATGAAGCTGTCATGGTTTCTCTTGATTACCCACATCTGTATTTGAGGCTGCTCACCAAGAGGCTCCTTCATGGATGAGTCTGAACCCCGTGAAGAGAGCAACAATTCAGTCCAAGAAAATAAGAGACCACAAGTCCCCTACCCTGCCTAGGGACCTGAAGGCCCTCCCTCAGCCTGAATCTCAGCACCTGCCTTCCTCCCAGTGAGCCGAGGTGCAAGAGCCAGACCACATTCCTTGTGACTGCCCCTCAGTTTGGAGCAGGGGATGAAATCATAGAGACTAATTCTTGGGGAGCAATGACTCAGCCTCAGTGCTTTTCCATTTTGACATCGACGGATCAATCTATTTTTCCAGGATAATTCGTCATTTTTGGAACTTGAAGAAATCTTTTCCCACCCCACATTCTCAAAGTTACTCTGGATTTGTTATCTATTGGCTTTCACGTTGAGGTCTTTAATCTCTCTGGATTTTTTTACATAGGGTGAGACAAAGATACAATTTTTTCTCCCTCCATACTTTCACTAAGGCAATTTTCAACCAACATATAAAAAAAAAATTCCATCTTGTTCCTTGACTTGTGAATCTACTTCACTCAAAAACTACCTCCTCATATGTACTTTGGGGTGTTTCTGGACTTGCCATTCAACTCTATCAGTCTGCCTGTTCCAGCACCACATGGTTTTCATCGCTGTGTTTTTGCCAAATGACCTGGGGTAGGGTGAATCCCCTCCCCTGCGTCTTTTTTTTTTTTTTTTTTTTTTTTTTTTGAGATGGAGTTTCATTTTTGTTGCCCAGGCTGGAGTGCAATGGTGCAATCTCGGCTCACTGCAACCTCCACCTCCCGGGTTCAAGCGATTCTCCAGCCTCAGCCTCCCGAGTGGCTGCGATTACAGGCACCTGCCACCATGCCTGGCTAATTTTTTGTATTTTTAGCAGAGACAGGGTTTCACCAAGTTGGCCAAGCTGGTCTCGAACTCCTGAACTCCTGATCTACCAGTCTCGGCCTCCCAAAGTGTTGGGATTACAGGCATGAGTCACTGCACCCAGCCGGCGATTCCCCATTTTGTTTTTTTTTTTCACACTGATTTAGATAATAGTAGGTATTTATTGTTCTGTATGAATTTTAGAATCAGCTTGTCAATCTACAAAAAAAAAATCCTTCTGAGATTTCAATTGTTATGTTTTTTAAATTATAAGTTAACTTGTGGGATAACCGACACAGTTAAATATTGCATCGTGAACACCCTTTATTTATTCACATTTTCTATTCACATTTAGGATCAAACTTCAACTCTTTTTCTATAAAAGTCCTGTATATATATATATTTTAGATTACTGTGTGGAATTTCATTTTCTGGGCAACTTTGCTGAAATTTGTTAATAGTTCTAATTGTTCATTGATTCTCCCAGAACTCTTTTTCTTTGATTTAAATCTGTTGCTTTTATGTTTTTAGAGTTGAACTTCATGAGTTTGGGGAATATCATTTATTTCCCATTTTTGTTTTATAATAAATGAATTCAAAGGTATAAATTTTTCTAGTTTCTGACACAATATTTTCATTGCTATTCTGCTCTCATTTTTCTATTCCCATTATGACTTCCTCTTAATGAGTTTTTAAAATAGTAATGTTTTAAAATATCTACACATGTGACATTTCAATAGATACCTATTTTTGTTGTTTTCTAATAATAATTTTATTTCTTTGTGGCCTGAACAGTCTGTAGGACTGTCAGTTCACTGGAATATGTTGATAATTCCTTGTGGCCTAGTACATGATTAATTTCCATGACTATTCCATGTATAATCAGGTTATTAATCATGTCCTTCTAATATGCCTTATCCTTGCTTAGTCTTTGCCTGCTTCATTTATCATTTTCAGAAAGGGATGTATTAAAAGTTTCCAAGCCCAACTGCTGATTTATCTACTTCCTCATGTCGGTTGTTGATTCATATTTCAAGTTTATATTATGTAATACATATATGTCTGTGATTATCATCATTATTGAGACAAGGTCTCACTGTGTCAGTCAGGCGAGAGTGCAGTGGTGTGATTTTGGCCTACTGCAGCCTTGACCTCCCAGGCTTAAGCAATCCTCCCACCTTAGCCTCCCGAGTAGCTAGGACTAAGAGCATGCACCACCACGCCTGGCTAATTTTTTTTTTTTTTTTTTTTTTTTGGTAGAGACGGGGTTAGGTCATGTTACACAGGCTGGTCTCAAACTCCTGGGTTCAAGCTACCTGCCTGCCTTGGCCTCCCGAGTAGCTGAGACTACAGGTACATGCCACCATGTCTAGCTAATTTTCTAAATTTTCTGTAGAGATGGCACTTTGCCATTTTACCCATGCTGGTCATGAACTCCTGGGCTCAAGCCATCCACCCACCTCAGCCTCTCAAACTGTTGGGATTACAGGTGTGAGCCAACATGCCCAGGTATATAATTACTGTCCTTTACAAGCATATAACAACCTTCTTTGCTTTGAATTCTATTCTATTTTGTCTAATATGACAATTGCTACCTCAGCTTTCTTTTGTTTCAGACTTGGCCAGTTGCGTATTTTCCATCCTATTTTCAACCTTTTTGAGTTCATGTCATCTCATGTCATTTAATACTCACCTAATCCCTTGTTTGCCCCATTTTACAGATAAAGAAACTAAAGTTCAGAGAGGTTACATGACTTATAATCACCAGTAGTGGTGTGCTAGAACGGAGACCCAAGCCTGGGTCTGTCTGACCACAGAGTCTGTGCTTTTCCACTCCATCCACTCACTCCTCCTGAGAAAACCTCACACAGCATCACATAAGGTTTTATAGAAACCTCTTTTATAAAGTGTGGGATTTAGCAGGCGACTGCCCTTATGGGGCTTCAGCCCTGATTGGCAGAGGCCAGGCTAAGTTATGACTTCCAAAGGGCATTCCATAAACACTTGCATTTGATGCTCCCAATACTCTGTAAAGTGAACAGAAAATATATCATTATTCCCATTTTACAAATGAGGAGAGGCTCGGAGACTAGTTAGTACTTGCCAAGATTACTCATGTGATCAGAACCCAGCTCTCACCTGCATATGATTGGAGCCCAAGCTTCAAATATTCTTCTTATCCACTTCCTCTCCCCATCTTCCACCTGAAATGTCAGCATTTGAAGTCCATTCCTCAGTGTTTTTCTAACCTATTCCTTGTGTGTTTGAAATTCCACCTCCGTAAGTCTCAGCTTTCTCATCTGCGAGATGGGTACAATCTTGCCAACTTCACAGTTCCTGAGAAGACTAAATGCATGGATGATGCTTGGTATCTTTCCTGGCTCAGAATAAGCATTCTGGAAGTGGTAACTCTTGCTGGAAGTTGTACAGACCCGGGAGGCACAGGCATTCTGACCCCTTTGATCTCAAGTACGTGCAAGAACAAGGTCACTTGAGCTATGTGTCCAGTTCTGCCTCACCCAGAGCCCCGCAAATTCTCTGCTGAGTTTCCTAGTGCCTCTGGCCACCACTGCAAGGGGAGAACAGAATGAGAAGGATTTACAACACAGTGCAAGTGGTTAAGATGGAAGGAGGAACACTGTTGGTGTTTCCCTGGCCTCGCTGATTGGCCCGGGGATCTGTGGCTCAGATAAAGACAGCCACAGAGAGCTGGGCCCAGTGCCTCTCAGGCACCCGTGTGAAACTCTGCCCAATGGGGGCACTGCATAGTGAAGCTTGGCAAACGCACCCAATCTGAGCCTCTGCCTTGTGTCTTTCCTCACTAGGGAAACAAAGAGAGGGCTGAAAAATAAGATGGGTGGCTCACACTGAACTGAGCCCTAAAATCACTGAGCTTTTGTTGCAGTTCCCCATGAGGCTGGGAGTCTCTGGGACCAGCTAGTGGGGAGTCACCCGCACCACCTGGCAGTGCAAAGAGCTCTGCAGCGATTCTCAGACTTCTGTGTTCAACAGTCCCACCTGGACAGCTCGCTGCAGTCTAGCTGCTCGGTCAGGGCCCACAGAAATTTTGATTCCAGAGGACTGGGACAGGGGCCTGGAAACCTGCGTCTTTAACAAGCTCCTGGTGGTTCTGATCTTAGTGGCGGGTGTGGAAGAATGAGTGGCCAGGGCTCCCCAGTCTGGAGGGCTTACTCCGGCCCTGGAAGAAGGTGGCTCGTCTGCCTCCGGGGGTTCCTGACTAAGCTCGAAAGTCACAGCCTGGGTTTCCAGCTGTCACTCCTAGGAGAACA